GGATTAAATCAAAAGGTTCTTTTGCATTATTAGAACTATCTGGAAAACTTAAACGAGTTTGCTTGGCTCGAAAACAAATATCACAAGTCTTAATAAGATGATCATTAGATGACGATGTCTGAATATGAGGAATCATGTTGGTAACTTGAGAAGATGGGTGTCCAAGTCGACGATGCCACAATATTGAGTCTTCAATAATAGTAGAATGCAGTGACACAGCTGTTTCAATCTCTCGAAACCGATACAGTCCCTCTCCTTCTCTTTCACCCGCTCCAATCAGCATCCTCGAGGTACGGTCCTGCAAGATCATAAGTTTATCAGTGACTTGACCAACAAGAAGTTTATCAGTGGCTTGACCAACAAGAAATTGACCAAAGGAGATGAGATTCATGTGGAAGCCGTTAACATAATACACATTATGCATGTGTATTTTTGCAGTAAGTTTCACAGTCCCTCTCTTTGAGGCTACTGCACCAGATCCTGCTGGTAATAAGACAGGTATCTCAGGAATATCTCTAGTATTCTCCATCAGCTCAAGTTGTCTTGTCATGTGATGAGTTGCCCCTGTATCTAAGATCCAGATACAATCATCTTTCTTACCCCTTAGACGATCTGTTGTTCCTTTGTTAATAAGTTTCTGCACAATGTTCCATTGATCATCTGTGATCCCACTCAAACCTACTCTATCTGCATCTGTGATTGCTATGTTTGATTGAATAGTCTGTGGTGTCGAAGTTAACACTGTTGCAGTATTTGCCTTTAGTGTCCCGGTCCGATCTTGAGTAGTAGAATTATTGTTTGCAGGTTTGAAATTGCGGTTGTTGGTTCTGTTCTTGGGACGATCATCCCACCAATCTGGGTAACTGATGATTGTGAAGCATCCAGCAGCTTCATGTCCACTTCGTCCGCAAGCTGTACACTGCCGTGTTGGATCTCTGTTTCCAGGTCTTGATGCATCTTTTATTGTGTTTGGTCGATAAGTGTTTGAAGGTCGCGTCTGTGATGCAAAAATCATAACTGCTGGTTCAGGTGATTTTGTTGATCGTATGATTTCGTTCTGTGATATAGTCTGATAGACAGTATCAAGATCAGGAAGAGGAGAAATCGCACAAATCTGAGATCGTATGACTCCATGTACTGAATCATCAAGCCCAGCTAAGAAATCATGAATATTTAGGGTTTCGGCCTCTCTTTCTCGTGCTGCGTTTAGATCGCATTCGCACTTGCCACAGGCACAGCTTTTCGAGTTCATACATTCAGCAATCCCATCCCAAAGTTTTGTGAGACGGCCAAAGTATTCATCGACGCTGGAACCATCTTGTTTGCAAGTTGCTAGTGCAATCCGTAGTTGTTGAAGTCGTGCCCCGCTCTTGATAGAATACCGCTTCTTGATTATATCCCATAGATCTTTAGCGATTTCCCGAGTTGATATTGATGATCTGATCTTTGGTTCGATTATTTGTTTTATCCATCCCACAATAAGATGATTGTTTGCAATCTAATCTTCTAGGAAGGGTGAATCGGCTGCCGGTTTTGGAAGACTGCCATCAAGGAATACAAATATCTTTCGTGAGCTAAGAGTCATACGAAAATTTATAGCCCATTCATCATAGTTTAATCCGCTGAGGAGTGGTTGTGAGATCACAGCTCCGGGATTATCATTAGATGATAGGTCATACGGAGTGATGGTTTTGTATTTGACTGCACCGGTTGCTGGTGTAATTGACATTGTTTTGGTGAATGAATAACATGAGTTTCAAGTTTACACACGCGAAAAAGAATAAGAATTCTGACGATCTTTCTTTCCTTATGAGATCACCACAGAAGTATTGAAAGAATAAGAATTTTAGTTTTGTTTAGGCTCTGATACCATGACAAATAGTAAATTTGGGAATTGAAAGCTTAAGTTTTATTGATGAATAGATGAGTATATATATAGATACTCAAAGAATATAAAAGACCAAAGCTAAAGATAAATAGGAAACATAAGATAATTCTTATCGGATATTGACTAAATTTTATCCTAAGCTATATGGGAGTTGATACTCCAATATTTTTCTCTAAGTTAAACCGATATAATTTTTTCATTGGGAAAGTTTTGAAACGTTGAGATCTTTTTTTTTGTTTTTTTCTGTTGTATGTGAATTAGATTTAGTTAATTTTGGGTCTTTTATCATAATTTTACCAATTATTTAGTCTTTTAACAATTTCAAATAAGCCTTTATAATCAATAAAATAACACTAATAATTATGGCAATTTAGCTGTCAATAAAACTTTGAAAGAAAGAGGGATACAAGGAGACATTTGGTAGAGAAAGCAATAAACCATGTGTATTTTGAATATCTTCTAGTGTGTCAGGTCTGGGCTCTATCGAATATACCATCAAATCCAGCTATCTTTTTCACTAGTTTTCTTTTTACAAATATGGATCATCTATTTTATAGCGTTCTCCCATAAATGGATGATCATCAGTTTACATGGATATTGTGGTACATTTGAAATAATATGAATAAAAAATGTTAGTACTTGGACATTGATCCCAGAGAAACACTCAAATTAGCGGAGACATAATCAACACTTTGGGATGAAACTATGGTGCTGAATATACAGAGGACAGCACAACATGTGAAGGTTTTTGAACTACCATTGATACCATGGCGGTGGTGTTTTACAAATAGTTGAGAAATGTTTTTAAGGACAAGGTTGGTATAGTACTTTAGAAGGTTTTGATGGACTGATGGCGGCAAGAAACATCAGGACTAGTCTCTCACCTCTTCATTCGGAGGTGGAAGCACCAATGGTAAATGTAATACCGAAGATGGTTTCAAAACCAGAAGAATGACCATCTTTTATAAGCTATCTAAAAGATTAAGATCCTGAAGGAAAGATTTCTCGACTCAGAGACCATTCATGTATATCAAACACATAATTTAAGAGCGGATAGTCTATCATGCAGTGTCACGAAACAACCGTTTTCGTCGTTTACATAGATGCAAAGTTACCAGTTTGATTTGTAGAGTCAATATAAATCTGTATATGTTGATGAAAAACAAAAATTGTGAACCCAGGGCGACTACCCCTATTACCATACTCAAGAGCTGGCACTGTTCAGCAGTAAACTCCTCCATCTCAAGCCGGAGTCTTCACCATTATGAAGCTGCTTCGCCAGGTAATTATCTATAACATTTGGCGACAGCAAAATGCTCGAATATGTTAGGCTTAACCTTCATTAGAGACATCAATTCTTTCTTCTTGTGGATCGGGCACTACTGAGTGATAGGTTGCTTTCACTTCCTACTCCCCCGGATGGCTTGGTGTCTCTGCTTGGTTTGTATTTCAGCTTTATTCTTCTTACTCATTAATTTGTTTTTTTCCTTTCCTTTCCTTTCCTTTCTTATTATAATAAATTGTCAAGCAACAACTCGGTAAACCTAAAAATCTTTGGTATGAATTTAACATATATACCCAAAAATGTAGGTTGCTGGATGCTGATATGGGAAGAAGAAACAAGAAAAGAGAAATAATACTCCATAATCTTTAATTACTCTTTAGGTATGTAGGAATAAATTTATTTATATATTTTGTCGTAATCTTTTCCTTTTATACTTTTTAAGATCATTAATTAATATTTCATGTATTTACATTCTTCAGACCTTCCCTAAAATTTCCTTTGCTAAATATAGATAAATTCATAGGTTCACTGTTTAGGGTGAATTTCTAGGTTTATCAACCAACAAAATTTCGTTATTTCATGTTCAGTATCTTTTAAGAAAAGAAACAAAATATTATCAAGTTATATTATGTTTTTGAGTTAAAATAGATTAATCATAAATTTTAGGGTTTAGAATTTATCCAAGGGTTTAGAGTTTATCCAAGAATTTAAGATTTAAAGTTTAGGGTTTAGTATTTTGGTGACAGAATTAAAAATACTTTTTAAAATATATAGACAAATACTTTTCCTTTCTAATATTTGTGTTTCCTTTCCTTTTCTAAAATCAACTAATCGAGACTTATTCTTAGGTTCACCTCCTAAGGTGAACCTCTAGGTTCACCAACCAATAGGGTGATGTTATTTCATATTTGATATCTTCTAAAAAAGGAAACAAAATCTTGTCAAATTATATTATGTTTTTAAAATAAAACTAGAACAAAATAAATAAGAAGAATAATGTTTACAAAAAACGAAAAAAAATTCTTTAAAAATATATTTTAACATTATATTATGTTTAAAAATAAAAGATAAAATAAAATAAAAACAGTAATAATTGCAAAAAAAAAACAATTTAAAACAAAAAATCAAAAAATATATCTTTAAAATAAAAACACGTGTTTAAAATAAAAAATATAAAAATAAATAAAAAACAGTATTAATTTAACCAAGGGTTAAGATTTTTCCAAAGGATTTATGATTTACCTAAGGGTTTAGGGTCTAGGATTAGAGTTTAGGGTTTAGTATTAGGGTTTAGGATTTAGGATTAGGATTTAGGGTTTAGTATTTTAGTATTAAATATATTTTTTAAGTTTTTTTTTCGTTTTTTAATATTATTATTTATTTATTTTTTCTATTTTTATTTTAAAAATAGAATATAACTGAACAAGATTTTATTTCCTTTTAAAAAAGATATCAAACATGAAATAACACAATCTTATTGGTTGGTGAACTTATAGGTTCACCCTAGGAGGTGAACCTAAGAATAACTCACTAATCGATATATTGTAGCATTTTTAGAAAAGTCGGAACCATTATTCAACAGAAGACAGATGGAGGTACAACTTTTAGACTCTCAAACAATCATTTGTTTGACTCCGGATTTACGAAACTTCTACACATTAGACATAAACACAATGGAAATGGAAAACATACATGAAACATAAAATAGCGTTACATTTTCACTCGCAAAAAAATCATAACGTAACTTTTGGGGTTTGGATCTTGTCAGACAAGAACATAACATATCACAATTCGCACAACTTGTATAAATCAAACATTCGCATTCTTTCACCCGAAAATGCTAACACACATGGCTGTCATGACCGCGGTAAACAAATTCCCAAATACTCCGTTCCCTGCAAGAAAAAAAGTAAAAAAAAATTAATAATTTACACTTTTTATAAATACAAAACAGGTATACGTGTATTTATATACAATAATATGCAATATATATATGCTCACGTCTTATAACGTTAATCGAAAAAGACCCGCTAATACTCGGCACGTATGGCGGCCGCGAGAAAAACGGTGGAGACGGGGGTAGAAATGAAGGAGAAGGCGGTGGAGGCGGCGATGCCAAAGCGGTAACTTCATACCTCAATAGACATTTAGGAGTAAAAATCTGAGCCCGAACAGACTGGTTACAACAATCTAAGATTTCTTTGGCCGCAAGTTTCAGACACCCGGTGCAATTTCTTGACTCAAGATCAGGACTACACTGCACAATTGAATTTAAATAATACGAACCCCCTAGTAGTGCCATACGTTCTTGATCCTCCACGAAGTACGATGAAGAAGAAGACGCTTTGATGATAAGGTCATCCATTTTATCGGACAGTGCTTGTGGGAACGTATCCGAGTTAAAGGCAGAGCTAGAATAGTACCTAATGATCAAAGGTCTGTCTTCTTGGAGTGTGAAGAAAGAATAATCCGAGTAACGAACCATACACCCTTCATAGAATATGAAACCTTCTTTTTGATAAGTGCAGTTTTTAGCGATTTCTAGGGCTGCGGTTTGAACACAGTCTGAACAAGATGTTCTCGTGATATCTCCTCTGCAGAGATACATGCCATGGACTGTGTCGGGGCTGATACCGCTCGTGGCATTGGAATAGGTTCCAAGAGGTGAACGGAGGCGGAGAGAGGACAGTACACTTTCGCGGTTTGCCGCATATGTGCTGGTTCGCGTGAAGTTGTCCGAGAATAGGCTGCAAAAGGTTCTCATGTGGGGGTCACGTTGGGATATGGTTTGGCTTGTAGAGAAGAGAAGTGATATGAGAGAGATAAAGCAAAAGAGAGAAGAGAGAATATTGATCATTGTTGCCATTATTTGTTCTTTCTTAGTGTTTTTGAAGTATGAGAGTAAGAAGATAAATTTATAGCAGAAAAAGTAATATAAAAAATGCATTGTATATGACTAGGAATTTTCTTTATTAGTTTTTAGGGGATTGTTGAGATCATGTTCTTGTATGTATACTATTTATTTTTGTTTAACTGTAAAACACTGTCCTTTATTCTTTAGTCTTACAATTTCGGAGACTTCAACAAGTACATTCTTTATATAATTGTGAGATATGATATGCATCATCTTCAACGACTCTTAAAATTCTCAGAAAAATAAGTCGGTTTATCTAAATATATAAAATGTTTTTCATTAAATTAATCTTGAAATTAATTAGTAATTTAAAAAAAATATTATTCTTAAAGCTATGGAATTACCTAATATATATATATATATATATATGATGATTAATGTTTTTGAATAATACAGATTTGATACCAATTTGTATGTCCTCTACCATTTAGACATTTGTGTACATGTTATACTTTGAATTTTAAAACAACTATAAATTATTAAAAAACTCACATTTAAATTTTTGTGATCATTAGTCTAAAATTTTTGTTATAGAAAAATACAAATGATATCATATGATTAGGGAATCTGTCAGTAGCAAATAATCTCAGAGGGAGACAAGAATCATCTTCATTGACTCCTAACTTAGAAGGAGGAACCAAATATTAGAATTTGCACTCGAAACTTTGTGGAATCGCTATTAGAGATTTGTAAATCTACTATACTCGAAAGAAAAACAGATTTGAAAATCTGGTGTGGAGAACGCTCAATAACAAGCTTCTCTTTTTTCTACGCCTTCAATTTCGTCATAGTTTTGAGAAAGAACAAGAAAGGTTTAGTCGGTATTAGAGCACTCCCATTAAGGGATGATGGGAGGAGTTCACACGCTAACCAAAAAAAAAATTAATATTAAAATCAGATTTCTATGAACTTCTCTTTCAAAAGTTTACTGCGGTGAACCCCGATAACCACAGATTCATCACGTATCAGTCACTGATTGGTCCAATATTAATTTTTTTTCTTTCTTTTTTAAAAGTAAACGAAAAAAATTAATTTTTTATTTGTGTGAACCCCTGGCGAGGGACTGGAGGAGCACCGTTGCGTTAAGAGAGGATCGAGTTCTCTATTGTCTTCAACTGAAACGAAAGGCGAAGAGGAAATAATTAAGCGAGATTAGTTTCACGTGCCCCAAGTTCATTTGTAGCTTTTAATTTATTTTTCTGAATGTTTAGTTAATAACTTAATATCTAGAAATTTGGTAATGTTTTACACTATGTCCCCACTAATTTTGGAGATTAAATTGTTTCTCCACCGTTACAAAATCATTCTAGCTCCGCCACTAATGAAAATCGTTCTCTTTGTTTAGTTAGAACAAAGACAAAGTGTATTGTTATCGTAGTAAAAGGGTAGAAATACATAAAAATGTGTCACAGACAAGATGTGCTTCCAGATGTGATTACAAAGTCAAAATGTGATCTTCAGATCTAATTTTCTCCTCAGAAAATCACCGGTACAAAAAAGAAACGAAAAATCAGTTGATGACTAGGCACTTTAGGGTTAACCTTACTTGATCTCCACGATGAACCAGTCTTATCTATTTTGTTAACCGTATTTGACCTCCACGATAAATCACGCTTATTAAGTAAAATAAAGGGTAATCAAAAAAGGATAATCAAAAATTTGTTTAAAAAAATTTCAAAAGATTCTCGACACATCATAACCATGATCGAGTGTATTAACTTGACGGTCGAGAGATAATATCTTTATTCTCGTACGACGCTCTACTTATTGACATTTGACACAGTCCAGAGAACAATCCAACTAGAATATTAAGATTTACGAAACTAACCAAATATTAAAAATGAACCCAAAGTAAAAGATTTAGTAACGACGTGGAAGCTTGTTCACACGATGATACGAAAGTAAAACCATCAGACTCAGATATGTCAGGAAACTCCACAGAAGCCTCGAAAATGACAGAATATAAATGTATCAGACTAATGTATCAAAAAATATCAGAATAATAAATGATTATTTAAAACCGTAATACTTGGTTATGAGTAGGCAAAAAAAATCGAACTTGAAAATCTGAAACGAACCTGACCTAATAAAAAAAATTTCGAACCGATCCGAACCCGACATAAATACTGAATGGATCTTATTTTACGGTATTTCAGGTTATGAATTTACCCGAACCAAACCCGAACTTAAATGGATAATCGAAAGAATCTGAAAGCTTTAAAATTTCAAAAAAACTTATACAATATCCAATCTAAATTTCTGATATGTCTCCAATCACACATTAATATATTATTAAGTACGTACAATAATTAGTTATTATATGAATAACTAACTCAAATATTTAGTCTAATATATAGTTTTATGTGGTTGATATTAACGTTATGATTGACATTACATTTGAAGTTAAGTTACGAATAATTTTTTTTTTAAGTTTAAATAATATTGTTTTTTAAGTTTAAATAGTATTCTTTTATGTTTATAGAAATGTTAGTTGTTAACTTTAACTTTTTATGTTTTATTATATATGATTTTCGTTCATACAAGGATTTGGTTTGTTATAATCATGATATGTTTAGTGTTGTCACATATAATTCAATGTCAAATTTTATATGGTTGGTAGACGAGTTTCACAGTATTATTTTGAAGGACAACAATATGGTTTTAAGAAGCTAAATACATAATTTTAATAAAACGATTGAAAATATATTGAGTCTAATCGAGTATAAATTAGTAATTTAGAATCGATAACCCGATTAGTATCTGAAACCAAAACTATTTCAGGTTCAACCGGATCTTGAAAATGTTACTAAATTCAAACCAAACCCGATTAAACCTGAACCAAATCCGACCCAAAATTTTATAATATCCGAATCAGACTAAAATTCATGAATCCGAGAACCCGAAAACCGAATAAACTCGAACCGAAACCCGATTGGACCCCATTGCCCACCCCTAGTTATAACAAGCCTCTCTTAAATCCCCTATATATTAATTGAGAAACATTTGAAAAGATGTAACCTCAAGTTTGTATTAATTAAAAAGTAACCTTGCTTAGTTGTCAATCAATTAGCATATCAATTAAACTGACGTGGCGGCTTTAGGTTCAATTGAAATTTGCTAGGGAAAAATAATTAGAGACGCATATAACGCATGTAACATAGTTTATATATTTA